GGGTCAGGGATTAGAAAGACCTACTTTTCTCTATATCCCTTTGGTATGGTAATGCTTATATTTTTTTCATATTCTAAAAATAATTTTTAAAAAAGGAATGACCTTCCTTGGGCAAGTCACTTAACTTTTGTAAATCTGTTTCTTCAGTAGTAATTGAGGGTAGCAATACTGGCAGCTGACGTTAAGTTGTGACTATCGGTCCATCCTCTGTGCTCAGGGTTTTTAACATGGATTATTTCATCTAATCTCAAACCAAACCTGCCTAAAAAGCATTATTGCTTTATCCCCATTTAATAGGTTAGATAAGAGATTTCTATCACCAAACTATTAAGTGGAGGGGCCAGGATTTTCCAGTTTCCAGAATCCATCTACTTACAGGATTGTGTAAGAAGAAGTGAGAAAGAGCAGGTGAAGTATGTAGCAATGTCTGACCTTCTCAAAGTGCATGGGGAATGTTAGATATTATTACTACTGTTATTTCTTCTCTTCCAGAAAACTCCTCCAGCCATTAGAAACATGCACCAAATTGAACAGAAACAAGGCTGGCTTTGTCCCAAAATCACTGTTGAAATTAGAAGGGCCATGGTCATGAGTAATACACAGCCATGACTTGAGCTTGAACATATGGAGGCACCTCACACCTCTTCAGCCATGAAGAGGATTGCCGCGGGAGGTCATTAGGGAAAGCACTGTAGCAGGGTATGTTCTTTTCCCCCTTGGGATATGACGGTTTTACCACTATTAATAAGAGATGTGGCCAGGAAATTACAGACTGGGGATGGGTAATCACGGTTTACATTTTAAAACTTAATCTGATCACCTCTAGAGTCAAGGATTTATAGTTTTCATAATGGTCAAAGTCTGTCTCATGTCACCATTTATGGACCATAGTTCAAGACTGAGAGGTCTGGAATGTAGTTTATCTTTGTTCTGCAGTACTCATATGTGCATGCAGGAGCGAGCATGTATGCACATGTTTGTGTGTGCATATGTGTTTCTCCAAAACACATATTATTTTCTCCAAAGCTCAGTCGGAGGGACCTGTCACCTTGACTCCCACTCAAGCCTACACGATCCTTCTTTTGAGAAAACAGGAAGTCAAGGGGGCTTCAGTTCTCTTTTCAGCTCCGCTACAATTAATTCCCTTTGCAATTCCTACGTTTTTGCTCCTTTGGTAAGTTAGGGCAGTCTCCCAATCTTCACTTCTTCATCTCCCCTACACAAAATGAGAGCTCCCTAACAGCAGAAACTTTATCAGTCATTGAATTCTCAGTGTCTAGAAGAATGTCTGGCATATAGTACACACTCAATAAACACTGAAGTTCCTTCCAGCTACAACATGGCATGATTCCATGAAATCATAATCTAGTGCCTTGAGTTGATTCCAGCACATGCAACAGATAACACTGGTTGGCTGTCAGCTCTCTTCTCTGCCTACTATTGAGACACCTTCATGAACATTTCCACTGGAGTGTAAGTAATATGTACAAAAGGAGATGATGCTGAGATCTGCCACATTTTCCTCCTCTCCAGCAGTACTAAAAAATGGTTTGGATGAGGAAGAAACAGAAAATATTAATTCAAAGGGTCAGTGATCTGCTGGTTTTAGTTATGCAGGCTATGCCTGTCAGTCACTCTCGTCCATTGGAGAGAAGTGGCCCCCCACAACACCTGCCACCAAGGCCTCTATATTCAGGTCCCCTTGGTGAGATAAGTTGGAGAGGCCATTAGCCAACAACACCTGAAAGCTTTTAGTGACATGAGAGTCATCCCAGATCTGGAAGGGGAAATGACCAAGGAGGACAGTCTGGTCTTTTTGTTTATTTTCATGTACATTAGTCAGGATTCTTGGATGTAAACAATACAAACAGACTCTGGCCAATAGAGAGAGAAGAGGAATTTATTTTGAGTATTTTAGTTACCACAGAATAAGCAGGATACCCAAACTGGTTCTACTACCACTAGCTCCACCAACCCCACTGCTAAATACCAACTGCCTCTTAGGGACCCCACCAACACGGTGAAGTTTAACTTGTTCCTTAATCTTTGCACTGCCTGCTCAAGATACAAAGTTCCAAACAGGAGAATCTGTTTGGCCAAGCTGAGTCCCCATTGGACTCCCATAATGGGAAAGAAGGTCCTAAATCTCACACAGTGTGGCGACCCAAATAGGAAGGAAGTTTGCAGCCTGGTTAACCACAGGAGAATGACAAGTGCCCACTACATCACAGCTCAAGAGCATCTGTACGCTTTGATGAGACATAGTTTATAAAGATGGGTTGAACTCAGTCTCTACAGTCACAGGCCCAGTGCCCTATCTGGGGCAGACTCATGATTAGCGTACACAGGCTTGTTAGGAATTCTCACTCTAAAGATTGAAAAAATTACCGATCAAAATTAAATTTTAATCAGTTAGCAGTATCCTGCTACTTTACCCAAGCAATTTTAGAAGTTGCAGTTGAGTACTGCAGGCTCCTGGTTATGTCACAAAATACGGCTGCCAGCTCAGATTAACCCAAGGGACATTTAACTCTGGATCAAGTTTCCATTCCTCTCCTATTCAGCCAGAAGTCCTCCCGCCTCAAAAAAGCAAGATGACCCTAGGTTTTCCTCATTCTTAACCAAGTGTTCCTCTGGAACACCAGGGACACTGCTTCAGACCTTGGCCCCAGCTCCCCTGTAGAAGGGCCTCTGGGATGAGCAGCTCGATATCTGCTGTGCAGAGGAAGGGACAGGATTCATGATTAGAAGGAAAACTTTTCTTCATCAAAAATGGTAATCCCCAAGGCAACAAAGAAAACCAAGACCTGCAGAGGAGCAGGCCTGCCTGCAGAGGGCAAAAGCAGGGGATGGGTGGGTAAAGTGGAGGCCACCGCAAGAGGCTGCCTCCTCCAAAACCCGCAGCAGTAACTACCAAAGGGCATGCAAAGGTACAGCAATTTCACTTCCAGCAATCTGTTCCACATACATAACTGCACAAGTGCACGATACATGTACAGGGGTATTCACTAAAGCATTGTCAGCAATCACAAAAGCAAACAAAAAAACTGGAAATAATTGTCCAAAATGGGTTCAACATGTTATTGTATAATCATATTATGAGGTCCTATGCACCTATATAAAAAAAAAGGAGTGACATGAGATGTGATAATATTGTCAATAAATTAACTGAGAAATTCAAGTGGCATAACACTGTATATAGTACGATTTTGTTTGTTTTTAAAAAGGGACAGTGTGGGAAGGCTTGTGTATGAATAAAAATGCTGGAAGGGTAAACTATAGATCATTGGAATTAGTGGCCAGGAGGCAAGGAAAAAGAGACCTTTATTTTTCACTTTATATCTTTTTTCTGTTTGAATGTTTACTGTGGGAATACAGCCTATTTATAATTAAAATAACTTAAAATGTTATCAAAGTGAAGCATGGCAGGAAAGAAGTAAAAGTGGCTATTAACAAGCAGGAATCAGGGGTTAAACATTTTTTTTTCCCAAATAAGGCAGCTCACGTGGGCCTGTGAGAAGGCAGATGTCTCTCATTTAAGAAAGTTTTCCTCTTGCAGGCCCAAGGGGGAAATCATCTCTGTATCTTTTCTTTAACCTCAGCGACCCCTCAGAGCCAGGTCTGTACTCCACTCAGGTGAGGACCTACCTTCTGCCTCCCGCCCAGGCATTAGGTGGCTCTCACACACAGCCAGGCTCAGCAAGTGTCATTGAGGTAGAGGCTCCTCCTCCATCCCTCTATCCCACCAAAAGTCAATTGTTATTAAAAAGCATGGAACTAGTGTTGGGCCTACTTTGTAGTCCTGTAGTAATGGTGATAATGTTGGGGGTAATGGTTAAGAAGCTGATAGAAAGTAGTCTGAAAACTTAACTGAATGCTAGAGTAGAAAAAAATGACCAGATTTTACTAATGATCTGAAAGGAATTCTGTCTTTGAAGTTACCAAAAGCAGCCCCAGAACAGTTTGTATTAAAGCTTGAATGATAAGAAGTGGCAAAAGGAATGGGGATGAGCTTAGTAAAGGGCCCTGAAAGAAAAAAAGGAGCTCTCCTTAATTTTCCACTGACATGGAGGAATTTTACCCACACAAAACCTTGTAGAAACCCAACCACATACGCCTGCAAAGGAAGGACTGGGGCGCATTACCCAAACTTAGTCTAAACCCGCAGCTCCTTTTTCCCGCCACTTCCCACTGTCCCAAAACTTCCAGGCTGAAGTTTCACCTCTTCTCAACTCTCCTGAGCTTCTGAGACCTAACTCTAATCTGTAGAGCAAGTAGAAAAGTAAAGGACCAAACCCACTCCCTCCCACCCCACCCCCACCGCCACCCAGCTAGGCAATTTGAAAGGCCCTAACAGGAATGTCTGTGAGTCACATAGATCCTTGAGATGTATGGCTCTACTGCAGGGAATTTCCCAGTTCAGTCCCCTTGGGAGTGGCTGGAGGAGGTCCTGGCTGCTTGGGAGAGGTAGGGAGCGAAAGCTCATCAAAGCTACCCCCATTTGGGCAGTGACCGCGCAATCTGACCTGGGTTGCAGGCGTAAGACCTCCTCGTCCTTCCTCCAAGTTTCACTCAGATGTATTGCTGGCCTGTCTGCCGTGTACCCCTCATACCTACCAAGGCAAGAAGACCTGTCCCAACGCCATCCTCCCTTCCCCCTATTCCCACCCCTGGGGAGTTCTGGCCCTTCTTGCAGCACTTGAGAAAGATTCTACAGTGGGCTTCCCTAGCTCAGGGGCCTTCCCCAGACCCTTAAAGGGGAGGCTCCTTTGTGAGCCCCACAGAGCATGGGGCTCAGCCCTGTGCTGGTTCTACTTGTCGAGGACGTCCCCGCCCCCGACCCGACCGTGGCCTTTCGTCCAGCCCTTGGCCAAGGGAGCAGTGGGGCGGGTGAATCCACCCCCCAATCCTTTCCCCAGGCCTTAGCGTATCCCCGGCCGAGGAGTCCAGAGAGGCTGAGATCCCATCCCTTATGCGCGCACAAAGCCCGCAGCCGCCGCGAGACCGCGACACCGCAGGGGCCCGAGCTCGGGCCCGAGCGGGTCCTCGCGCTGCGCTCCGGCCACCGAGTTCAAGGAGTACGCGCGGCGGCGCAGCCTAGGGCCGCGCTGGTTAGGTAACTGGGGGAACCGGAAGGATGGCGAGGAAGTAGGAGAGGGTTTCCTGAGATGAAAGATTACTTCCGTCCGGGCTCCGGCCTCTCTCTGGAGCCGGCTTGCTGGGGGTTGGGGAGCGGGCTGCGCGAGGCTTGGGGATAGCGCCTTGCCACCTGCAGCGTCCGGGGCCGACCGGACGCTCTTGGCCAGGTCTGGGGCTCACGCAGGACATCTTTGCAGGTGGGAGTTGAGCGCACTTCCAAGAGCCCAAGCCATGGTGGCCAAACAGAGGATCCGGATGGCTAATGAGAAGCACAGCAAAAACATCACCCAGAGAGGGAACGTAGCCAAAACCCTGGTAAGGAGGAGGCGGTGCCGAGCGGGCCTGGCGGCCAAGGTCCGGAGTGGAGCAGAGCTGGGCGGGGCCGGGCAGGCGGGCCGCGGGCGCAGGACCAGTCCTCTCAGTTCTTCAGCGCTCGGCCCACCGCTCCTGCCGTGACCCGCCCAGTGGGTTCAAAGATCTAGGCTCAGGGCTGCGCGGGACTCGTAGGTGCTCTTGTGGGCGTGAACGGAGAGGGCCCTGGTTTGTCGTGACCTCTCCGGGAGTGGCTGCTGGGGCTACGACGGGAGCAAGAATTGGGCCTTTTGTCTGGGAAAGACGGCAAGCACTTAGTTACAGGAATTGTTAAAGCAACTGCTTGAAACAGGGTCCTGAACTTATCAGGTGCTAGAACGTTTGTTAAATAAGCGATGAATAAATGAATGAGTGAGTGAGTGAGTGAGTGAATGAATGCATGCATGCATGCTATTTATCATCTCCCGCTCCCAGGCTTCACCCCTTGCCCAACCCAACCAACAGACACCAAGGTTTTTCTTTCCAGCCCCTTTATAATGGCCTCCCTGTGTAAGCTGGAAAAGCGGCATGAGATTCTGGCCCATATTTCCCTCCATTCTCCTATTTTGCCTTTTCTCTAGTGAGGCCTCTTAAAACTGGGCTTAAGTTTAAATGCAACTTTCCTCTTGTTTGCCCTGTGAATTCAGGCTCATTCTGATGGTATGAGCCAGAACTTTAGAGACTAGTTTATTGCCAGGCATTCTGTGCCTTTAAAACTGTAGACTAAAGCTAGCTTTATAGCAAGTTTTAAGTAAAATCTGTGCCTCATGCTCTGGGCTTTCTTTTAGAATGCAAATTATCTTCAACAGAAAATGCCAGGCCTATGATTTTGGACATTCAGAGGCTTGCCTCGGATGAGTTGTTGAGCAGTGTGAGTCTCCAAGTCTATGAGCAAAGGCACTTAAATGAAAATCCAACTGAAGCTTGGGGCTTGGCTGGAAAAGCTTACAGACTTGATGAGACAAGTCCTTTTAGCCAAAGAAATGATGCTGCTTTGATTGACTGAGCAAAAAGCTTCACCTACAATCATTACACCAGAATTCTTGCAAAACTAAGCAGTACTATGGCAAAGAAACCTTAGGATCAAACTCAGCTGTACTCAGGCCTTTATACACAACTCCAGGCTTAAGTCATGCTTGAAATTCTCTCCCTTGAAAGTTAGATCATTTAGTTATGATTGGCCAGCAAAATGCCAATATTCCTTTGAATTGGAACCATTTTTCACATAGATCTATGTTTTCCCTATTTATTTTTACTCATAAAAAAACTTGCTGTTCAAATTAACATTGACAACCAATTTTTAATTGATGTTAAATGTTCAAGATTTTATATCCTTAGGATATCAATTCTTCCTAGGATATCATACAGACTAGCTGATATACTGAAAATCTCTAGTTGTGTGATTCTTTGTAATGAACTAAAGAACCGGTGTTCAGTTTTTAACTGAACTCAGTAGACAATTTATCTGACTATAAAAGTAGTGACAAAACAGGAATTAATTTGAGGAGCTGTTTTATCCATTAGGCTTTGTAAACTCAGTGTCTCCCACTTCCAGCTTTTCAGGACCACATAATTTTTTGTTTGGGACCTGAAACAGAAATTATTGGCTCCAAAATAAGAAAAGAAAATGGAAAAACCTGGAAAAAAACTACTTAGCTATCTAGAGAATGAAGTCACCTGTGGTTCAATTCAAAACTTTCAGAACTGCATTCAAACATTAAATCTATGGTATGAGCTCATTTTAATAAGTTCTGATATACCATGGAGTAGGCCCTTGAAAAGTGCCTAGCGCCTATGAGGATTTTTTAAATGGCCCTAGTAAATTTGTAATGAAGGGTTTTCAAACCAAGCCACAATATATGTTTATTTTCCTTTGATTAGGAGGGCTTTTGGTTAGCTTTACTATAAATGGATCAGCATCCAAAAAGAAAAATGAGATATTCTTTTAAAAAGCAATACTTCAAATCCTAAATTTTATTTTCCTAATTATAGGCCAAAATGATTAGACTTTGAAAGAATTAACTTACAAGGGATAACTTGCTTAGATGAAATTCAATAAATGGGGACAGATGAACAAATTCTAACTGAAAATTTGGACTAATCATTTAGAAATAAAGCCCTTCAATTGTATGCAGATGCTTCAGTATTTTATTATTAGCTAATAGCCATGGAGTAAATCAATATTATTCTCCCAGATGGCAGATAAAGCCAAGAAACAGAAAAATGGAATAATCATTTCATGATTATACAGTAGTAACTTCTTCAAAATGAAGAGGGAATTTAAATTTCAGAGTTCTGAGTTACCCTGCTGTTATCTTAACACAGGGAAATCCAGCCTCTTATATTCTGAAGCTTCAGGAAGTAGCAAACGCCTGTTTGAAATGAACCATGTCATTTATCGAATTCTACTGCTTTTCTTACCTTTCCCAGAAATGGATTCAGGGTTAGGTGAATCATCCCAGTGGGACTGTGCTGGGCACCACTTCCGCCCAAAAAGTAACTTAGACTCTCAAAAAGGTTATATTGGTATTATGATCACCCTGGTGTTCCTGAGCCCTGAAAGTCCCCAAATAATATTGCTTCACTGGGAAATGTCATCAAAAAGGTTTTTGCTCCAAGCTCTGCATGTTAATGATTTGTGTTTTTCTGCAAAGAAAAAAAATAAAGGACTTCATTTGGTAAATGACTAGACCAACAATTCCTTTAGAGGCTTTTGAATTCACCTGTTGGCTTTGCTGGAGATGGAGCAAAATGAATTTTTATATAACTTTAGTAGGAAGTTAGCAACAGAATTGGTTTCTGGTCAACCATGACAAATTGTTAGGAAGTTGGTGAAAGAGGGTTGGAAGAGAAAAATGTCATACTCTGTTCAGTTAACTTTATTTAATATATCTACTATTTACTTGATCTGACCTTGATCTGGTCTTTAGTGCTAAAGAATGACACGATAAAAATGCTAGTTAACGTTATCTTATGCAATTATTTAAGGCTGATTTTGTCCTTGTCTAGGCAAGAGCAACCACCTCTTTTCTTGCAGTGTGATTTGCCTTCATACAAGAATGGTGGCAGATATGAGCCTGGCAAGGACAGAGAAGTAAATGGTTTCAGTCTTTAGAGTCTACCTGCCACTGACACTTTAATCCATACTTCTCTAGTAAAAAAAAAAAAAAATACAGGGATAACCATATCACCAATTAGGAAGTATATTAAAAAAGACAGTATCCTGCCCTGGCTGGTATGGCTCAATGGGTTGAGTGCTGGTCTGCAAACCAAAGGGTTGCTGGTTCCATTCCCAGTCAGGGCATATGCCTGGGTTGCAGGCCAGGTCCCCAGTGGGGGCATGTGAAAGGCAACCACACATTAATGTTTCTCTCCCTCTCTTTCTCTCTCCCTTCCTCTCTCTCTAAAAATAAATAAATAAAAATCTTAAAAAAAAAAAAGACAATATCCTTCTGAGACCCTGTCTTTACCCAACCTAAGAAATCATGTTTAATGAAGCTTGTGTGCTTATTCATTCTTTAATTAACACTTATTGAACATCTACTATGTTTAAGTTCTATATTGCTATACACTGATACATGAAAGAGAAAGTGCCTGCCCTTGTGGGGCCTACAGTCTAGTGGAGAGCCAGGCATTAAACACATTTTCACAGGAATAAACATAGATACAAACTGTGATAAATATCAAGAAAAAGTACATGGCGCCACAAATGACAAGTGAACCAACTGAGGTAGAAGAGTGAAGACTCTCTAAGAATGTTAACAGGTAAGCTGTGAACCAAAGTGTTGTTGCATTATCTATGATAAAATTAGTTCTTTAACTTAAATTGTCTATGTTCTATTTTGGGCTCACACTAATGAGCAAATAGTGAGTACTACTTTTTTCACCCTGTCTTCTCCCTTTTTATTTGAGAAGTTCACTGTGTTTTCAGATCCCTATCAGAAAATATGGTTTTTCTATCATTTGATTTTATTTTCAAGGCCCAAGCCCTACCTGTAGTAGACCTAGAAGGGTTGCAGAGAGACGTTCTTATTACATCTGTGCTTGGGGTTTGAGAAGAACAGGCAGTATGCAGGGCTAGATTGGTGTGGGTCCAACAGTGCCCCTCTACTTTCCAGAGAATGCAGAAATTTCTCCAAAGTGTGAGCTTCACAGAGATTAGGAACTTTATGACAAAATGCTGCTTCCATTACATCCATTCAGTTGCTGTGCTACTTCTGCAATCCCAAGGATTTCCGCTGCACTGCCTTCCCAAATTTTTTAGCCCATAGGTTTTGAGAACATGGCTGTGCTCTGTGACCCCACTTGGAATTCAAGAGTTCCAAATGCAAGAGTTAAAAATGAATACATTAGCCCTGGCTGACTAGCTTAGTTGGTTGGAGTGTCATACAGATGCACCAAGGTTGCAGGTTCAACCTCTGGTCAGGGCATGTATGCTAAGCAACCAATAAAAGCATTATAAAGTGGAACAACAAAGCGATGTTTCTCTCTCTCTCTCAAATTAATTTTTAAAAATTTTAATGAATATATCAGTGGAAAACACCCAGGCTCTGTAATAAGGCAGACCTAAATTTGAATCTCAGCTCTTGCTCAAGCTAACAAATTTGAGCCTCAGTTCTCAAGTACAGAATGGAGTTGCATGGAGTTGTGAGTGCTGGAAATAGTAGATAGACTTCTTAGTTAGCATCTGCCATAGAGTGTGCTTTCAACAAATGGAAGTAACTATTAGTAATATCATTTTTTGGCTCCCAAATCACTGTATTGGTTTTATATATTTATATCCTGTCCCCAGAATATTTAAGACCACCAAGTTCATTGAGCTACAGGAATGTAAGTATGGTTATTGATGAATATTTTTAAACCTTGATCCTTTACAGTTAACTTTATTCCTCTATATCTGTCCATTGGGCATTGACACTGAGTCTATCTTGTTCACAGTGGAAGTCCCAGTTCCTAGTACAGTAATGAGTAGTACTCAATGTTTCCTGAATTAATGAACCTAATCTTACTTTCTCCCATTCTCTTTTAGAGACCACAAGAAGAGAAATATCCTGTGGGACCATGGCTGTTGGCACTGTTTGTTTTTGTTGTCTGTGGCTCAGGTAAGTGTTTTTCACTGACCTTGTATCCCATTTCCTCCTCTGTCCTTCAAAAACATGTTTTATTCACCGGGTAAATAGACAAAAAATATATTAGTTTGAGATTCAAGTTAATTTCTGCCTGAGGCCTTGATCTTAATGGGTTTTGATTTAGTTTCTATTACAGCAGACCAAATATGAGTAGAGACAGAATTGATACACTATCAAATTATGATCATAAAATTATTACACAGAGCAATTAAACTGGCTATATACACACTTTAGAGTTCAATTAAACCTTTCTGTGAAGTAACAGTCTAAAAGCATTTAAAACAGAAAGTGGAACACCTCTCTGACCGAGATAAATCCACACTCCAGAGAAAGGGAAGGTCTTCTGCCAAAGAGAAAACTTGATAGTGCTTATGCAGAGAACTGAGCCATTGACCTGAGCCTCAAGGTACACTCAGCTCATACTGGAAGGTGACAAGTTAAGAGAGCTTTACTTACACTGACATGCCAATACACATACAGAGAGGAGACTTGAGCAAAAGGATCATGCAGTCATTTCTAGCTGTATTCTAGTTGGGAGTCTTGACATAATTCCTGGTCTCCAGGGTTTGAATCTCTGAAGTACTGGTAAGTGGAGGTTACTTCTGGCCATAAAGTAGGCCGTCAGAGGGTCCCCTCTTCTCCACCTCACTGCCGCTGAGGGTAGGGAAGACCAGGAGTCCACATGTTCCTGCAAAGACCCAGGCCTCCCACAAAGACATCATTCTGCCCCAATGTCAAGAGATACCCATGACTAAGGGCAGATCCTCAAGATCTCTGATCCTCAAGAAACTGCTCTTGGGAAGGAAGGATCCAAAAGTTTTGGCATAATTGTTGTTTGAGGCTCAAATATTTTAAAGATGATGTGGCAGTCCAAGATGAGAAGCTATTCCACTCAAAGAAAGAAAACTGTACCCCATTTCCAAAGCTGTGTCCTCAAAAGGACTCTTGCCCAATATGGGATCCCTCATCTTTAAAAGAGTTTACCCATCCTCTGCTGGAATGCTTCTTCAAAAAGCCTCATTTCTGTATAGGTCTAATTCTATTAGGAGTGTCTCCCCTCTTTTGAACTACACTGTGCTGTTTTCTCAGTAATTCAGGTGTATATTCCTGAAGTCACACAGTATGGACTTGCTCTCTTCTGAACATCTTAGAATCTTTGGATTTTTTAAGATGACTGCCTAGGGGTTCCTTCTGCTAGCTAAACTTCCATAGTTCTCTCATAACATGTGATTTCTAGATACATGCCAAGACTCTCTTAAAGAATAGCATTTGCAACTATAGAAGTTGGTCTAGAAGCGGTGTAGATGCTACAGAGGCGGTAGGATTCTCACTGCCCTTAACCTCAGTGTTCTGCTTCTATTACTTCTGCTTCTTATTGTAGTTTATTTCAGTCACAACACATTCTAGACTCACATCAGGGTGCCAGCCAGTACCACCAAGATCTTCTTTACATAAACTTCCTGTGCACATCAGAGATGTAGCTTCATAACCCCATCACACATTGTTTTATTTTATTCATAGGCCTCATCAACATATGAAGTTATTTTGTTTGCTTACTTATTATCCGTTTTCCTCTACTAGGATATAAGCTCAGGGAAAGCAGTGTTTATTTTCCACTACATTTGTAGACCCTACTACAGTATTTTCCACACTGTGCATGCTCAGTATGGTGGGATGGATAGATGGATGGCTGACCAAGGGATGGATGAATAAAGCCAGATATTCCTCATACTGTAGATACCCAATTAACTTTTTTTGGACCTAACATAAAGCTTCGTGAATATTTTTATTAAAATTATATTGTTGGTTTCAGTTGTATTTCTACAGAGTAGCCATAAATTCTGGAGACATAGAAGAACATGAATAATTAATGGCTTACCAATAATACATTATAATGTACAATATGGTCAGTGACATTACACAATTTATTCAATGTATTGCCCTTCTTTAGCAATACGTAGTTCAAAGCATAAATCAGTGACTTGGGTGCATTAATGCAGCATTTTCATCAGTGCCAGCATATTCATCTGTGATGCATTGTCTCAGGTGATCTGGCTCTGATTTTTGTCCCAAAATAAGACAAACAAAAAAACTTGTGCCTTAGCATGTCACAGAAAAATGAAAAATCAATCAATATAAAAAAGCTGTCTGTGTTTTCAAGTTTTATGGCCAGACTGTAGATTGTTAGAACTTGAACCTTGAGCCTTTTATCTAATTATCTTTCTTTCCCAGCTTTATGGTCTCTAAAAGTATATTACTTCTCCAAGTCACTGGTAAAAGTCTGAACCTGGAGAATTCCATGGAACACAATTAGAGACAACTCCCTTCAAGTTGACTTTGAACCTCTCCACAGTACTCTTGCCAACAATCACCATGTCTTGAGGGTCCCCTGTGTGCCGGGCCCTGTGCCCGGCTTTGAAATTGCAACCTCCTTCTTGACCAGCAGGCACTGGAGGAGGCAGATAAGGAAGCCGTCAGTTGTACGGGGGAGGGGAGCAGGAGCGCTGTGATAGTAGAGTGCCCAGAGTGCTTGGAGAGTGCTGATAAGGGATTGTCTTAGTCTGTTCAGGCTGCTGTAACAAAATACCGCAGCCTGGGGGCTTATAAACAGCAGAAATGTATTGCTCACAGTTCTGGAGTTTGGAAGTCAGATTTGGGTGCCAGAATGGTCAGGTGAGAGCCCCCTTTCTGGTCACAGACTTTCCTAGTAGCTTCATGTGGTACCCTTATGCATAGTAGAAGGGGGTAAGGAACTCTCTGGGACCTGTTTTTTAAAAGCATTAATTCCATTCCTGAGGCCTCCACCCTCATGACCTTATCACCTCCCAAAGGTCCAGCCTTCTACCCATCACACTGGGGATTCCGTGTGAATTTGGGAGGATACAATCAGTCAGACTGTAGGAGGGACGTCTAAATCACACTGGGCAGAAGAGAAAGTTTCCCAGAGGAGGTACAGTTTGAGCTGAGTTTTGAAGGACAAACGGCCAAACAAAGGGAAGATGATTCCACATGAAGGAACACTATGTGACAAAGCCACAGGGCTTGAAATAGTGCTCTGGGCTCAGGAATGGCCAGAGCCCAGCCGTCACACAGCCCTCCCAGGTCTGCACCTTTGCCCAGGAGGGGAAGGGAGCCAATGGAGTTACTTGGACTGGCTTGTTTTTCTCAAACCTGGGCTAGCTCTCAGTGTCATTCTTTTGAAAGGGCTTAAAAAATCTTATCTAAATTATATTTTAGTTAAAGTTTTGTCAGGCCTGTTTTTACGTATAATAGGAACTGCACCTTTCTCCCTTGGGTAGACTGGGACAATCTTTTGGAACTCTCCCAGTCTGCAGGAGTCTTTTCAGGGATCAAGCACATTGGCTCTGTCATCTTTTCAGTAGGATCGTCCAGGGGCCTGGGTCGGGGACTGCAGGGTCTGGAGGTTTTGGACTTAATGTAACTAAGAAACCACCGCACTCATTGGCATGCCACATGTGCCTGCCTTCGTGTTCCGTACCCTTCTAGTGACACTTCTTTACATCTGCCCAGTTAAGGCCATTGTGCTTCTATGGAGAGGCGAGACATAAAGCAGGAGTTGGGTCATCTTACTTTCTCTATCCTTTTTACCTGCTACCATGATCCCTAAATCATGGGCCCCATCTCTTTTTTAATCATAACTAAGCATAATCCACTACCACTACTCTTTTTGTTTTGTTTTAAAACTTCAACGTTTTTTACTTTGTTGTTTTTTTGTTTTTGTTTTTGTTTTTTTGCCATCATCAGCTCAGGTTGGGCACTATTGTCACAGAAATGTGTCATTCTTCTCAATTTGTCTTTGGTATTGTGCCCTTCCTTCTATCTTTGTACATGTCCTTTTCTAAACCAAACATGTCATGAAAAACACAATAGCACCTTTAGATGTGTCCCCATTGCCCCTTCCCTGGGATTAGCCACAATTCAGTTCATTTTGCAAAGCCCGCTATCCCCCTTGAGTTTCCCCCTTCTTAGGGTCACAGGTCATAGGCCCCCATTTATCTTTTCTCTACATTTAAAAGAATGTGATTTCCCCAAGTCTAGCAAGTTCCTTTATCAGTTCCTCTGCTTTCTGTGGTAAGCCTTATTGGTTGTAAATGATTAAAGCCCCTTATCACTGTTCTCTCTCACCTCTTCCCAGTTCTGTGTCCCAAAGTAGGAGAGACTACCTACACCTCGCGCCCAACCGTCCATCTGTGCAGTGCACACCCTCCTTCCTGCTCTTCCCTGTTACACTCACACAAAATGCACTGTGGTTTCCGGTGAGATTTCCATACCTCTACAGACACACACTCCTTTGTGTCCCTCAAGTCCCTTTCCTTTGAACAAGACATACCTGTATGCAGGCTAAAGTTCTACTTCACCGAGTCCCAGTGATACCTGTGAGGTCATTTGCCCTCTCTGACTTCAGGTTGTTGGTTATTCCTATTTTGTATATTTTTATACAGACAGGAAAAATATGAGATCTTCTATATTAATGAAGATGTTGATCATTGATTGATCTGATTCTCTTGAAAGACTCCCTTGCTTTCACTACTTTACTCTATTAACCTACATTGCTACTTGATGACTGGTTGGGCAAAGTGCTCTTTTTAAAAGTCGTGTTGGTATACCCTGGGTAAATAAATAATCAGGTCAGGCAAGGAATAAGAAATGCACATCTTATCTGTTTTCCTAGCTATATTCTGGGAAAAAAATCAAAGCTGATTAAATATTGGCATTTAAGTACATGCTCGCTTCTTGCTTGCCCTTACTCCATTTTATGTGGAAAACCAAGTTAACAACCCTGCAAGAGGCTGCAGGATCGTCTTATCATGGGGAGTGATGTGTCCCGGCAAACTCTGACCCCTTGCTTCTCAGTCTCTTTCATATAGCTCTTCTCGTTCTCCATTCATGCCTTTCATGTCTGTCATGCTGATAAGAGCAAGATGATGAAAGGGAAGAAAGAACAACCTGGAAAACAGTGAGGGGACAGGAGCAAGGCACCCCGAGACACCCCGGCCCAAACATGCACCCAGAGAACACCTACCACCTCAACCAAGACATTGGATAAGAGCACTGGGGCTGTGCCGAGGACCCCAAGATCCAAGTCTGAGGACATGGTGGTAATCTCTAATATGCTACCCTGTTAGGAAGCAGTTGGAGAAGGTTTATCTAAATATACCCCTCCCCAGAAGTCAGTAAATTTCCACTTTCCACTAGTGCAAATGTCTCTTAGGCAAAACACGTCTTTGAAACCTGACTAGTTGGCAGTAAATAGGGTAAGTGGGCTCAGAGATAGGGAGAACTTTGGAATCTTCCAGATGTGGGTTCAAAGCCTAGATTTGCTGTTTATCAGCTGAATAACCTCGAACAAGTTATTTACTCTCTATTGCTTCCCTTACCAATCAAACAGGGATACAGGAGCACCTCCACAGGTGGACCTGGCATTGAATGGTTCCCAGGATGTAAGGGTGGGCCCGCAATGTGCTTGAAACCTGCAGCTTCAGCCACGACTGCCTTTGCCCCTGTATCCCTCATGGAAAAGAGTGCCCCCCGTAACGGATGGTGGGCCGTGGCGGGCGGCGCTCAGCCTTCCATTTGCCTCTCATCCTCCTAGGCCAAGCCTTTCATTGGCAGGCTCAGGCATCACATTTTTCTGGATCTTTCAGAAAGCAGTAGGCCCTGCCTGTTCACTGCAAGGATAAATGTGAGCAATTTTAAGTGGTAACACTCTGGGTACATGAGACTATTTTCCCCAAGGTAAACTATCAAAATCTTTTAGACCTCCCCACGCAAGAAAAAGGAAGCACCTGCATGCAGACTGAGATCAATGAATAGGGGTTTGTACTTTAGGTTGAATATCAGAAGTGAAATCAACTTTCATTTCCTTAATACAACCTACTTACACTACTGTTTTGCTATAAAAGTTTTCTTTGTGAGATAGAAAAGCTTTGGGTCCATGTGTTCGAGATACAGTGTTATCCAGATAGCTCATCTAGGGCCATCTTGTGCTTTGTTTTGCTCAGTTGGTACCCAGCTTTATTGTTATTAATATTATATACATTCTGTCAGAAATCTGAGATCTGCTTCTCAGATACTTGTTATGGGGCCTCCTCAGGTGATTACTCCAAACGGGCCAGAAAATTGTCTTGTTCAAGTCTTGTCCGGGGACTTTGTGTTGCTAGAACCTTTTTAACTGGTTACATTTACCTTCATCTGATCTCCTAGGACCCCAGATCCACAGTGAAGCCCAAAGGATCTAAACACCCCACTTTTTATAAATACATTGTCTTTCATTTCTGCTGGTCGTGGGGCCTCTCTTCAGATAAGCAGCTCATCCCAGCTCTCTTAGTCTTTGGTTTCAAAACCTGCCTTTTTGGAGAACTGTTAATAGCTTCTGAAGAGTCCTTGTTTTTATCTTGAGACTCAGAGACAAGCATGACCCGGAGTGTATGCCTGAGATGGTAAAGACTGCTGTCTTCGCAAGACACTGGCTGTCTTGATGCCTGTCCCCAGGCCACTAATGGCACTAGTCACTGCTGTTTGTGCTCAGAGTCCTGGCTTTTCTCCCCTTCCATCCTCAGCTCTTTTAAAAGCCTAAGTGAGAAAGATTCTGAGGCCACACAAAAGCCTTGTGTGAAAATGTGCTGCAGTTGATCCCTTATGTCTGTCATGATTGTGGTATGAACAGCAGGGTCCATGCTCATCTGTGCTGCCCCTGGTCTGAGCTTTTTATAACACAAGTGCCACAGTGGTCACAGGACAACTGTCTTCTGCATTTTCAACTTACCTCTTTGGCTCGAATGCCTCCTGGACTCAGCGAAATTAGGTCTTTTCCTTAACATGCTAGTTGTTCAGACAGTTTGGTCATTTTCTCAGCATATACATGTTTCTTGTGATCCGGTAGTAGTATTTACCTTTTCTAAGCCCTAGTGGGATACTATGCAGTGACAGGGAGCAGCAACCTTAGGCGTGACTTTTTGCAGCATGGTTGTGTCCTTCTCTGCTCCCACACCTCATTGAGGTTTCAGCTGGGATTAATGGAGTCACCATCCTCTGATTCTGACGGGTACACTTCTGTCCCAGCCACGCCCCAGTGCCCTCCCTTGGACTTTCTCCCTCATGTATTCCTGATTTCAATTTTATTTCTCTCTCTCTCTCTCTGACCAATCTTGATCCTCATTTACTAATTAGTTATTATGAGAATTTCGGTGGTTACTGAAGCCTGGGTGTTCCTGAAACTAAGAAGCTTATATCCCCCATCAAAGGGAAACCTCCAGGGAAACAGAATTAACTAGCAACTGTTATTTTATTCATAATTTTCTATATTTTCCAATTTTGTCATTGAGCATATATCACTTTTCTATTGAGGAAAAAAAATTGTGTAATTTAAGAACAAAACAGCTAGCCCAGTGGTTTGTAGCTTTTTTTTTTTTTTTAAAGGAGCAAAAATCTTTGTTCAAATCTTAGAAACAAATGTAAGAGCAGCTGTTCTGGTTGAAGCGAGGTCTTTGTGTGAATGTGTATATGTGTGCATGTTTGTGTGTTTGTGTTTGCGTGTGTAACTATATATATGGGGTACACCCCGTGTTGCTGGATATTCTGATGTTTTCATCCCCAGAAGGAATATCCAGCTGGGCCCTCTTTGCCCATCAAATAGGAGATTGTGTCTGGCCCTGAGCTGGCCCCTGCTATTGCAGTTCATACCTCTAGGAGCTGGTCAGGTTTATTTGGCACCACCAGTTGTGAGCAGCTGTACTGTTTCTGGGCAGGGACATGCCTTTTGTCCATGAGTTCACAGACTATACTCTTCTCCTGTATTCTCCAGGGACTCTACCTGTGGGGGTGGGGTGGGAAGAGAGATAATGTCATAGGTAGGTCTGTTTTTCGGGACAACCTATTCAGAGGTATGAAGAAGTGATTACCTGAGATATTCTTGGGTGGGCCTCAACTTCTCCCTCTCTCTCAGCCTCATGTGTCAGGTGATCCTTCTGTCCCCCCTCTACATATATATGGGTTAGGGGCCTCTCCATTTCTGGAAGGGCTAACACACACCCTTCCTAGGACTGGATGTTTTTATTAAGGATAATGTGGAGGAGGAAAAGAACTAACTCACATGTGTGCCAGCTCCAGGGCCAGCCTCCCCGGGTTTGAAACTGGGCTTTGCCACCTGCTCGCTGTGTGGCCTTGTCCAAGTTACTCATGCCCACTTTAAGCCTCAGTTCTCCCATTCTTAAAAGAGTTAATATTGGTTCCTGACTCCTAGGATCCTCATGAAAACTAATCCTGAGGGTTAATGCATGTCTAATATTTAGTGGAGTCATGATAATGGTTTTGTTTGTTGTTATTGTCATTATGGTGATGGTCCTTAGTCATACCATTTCCCCAGCTCTTAACCTCCTTGGCAAGGTTCTGACCAAGATTTTGAATGCTTTCAAGGAAAAAAAGATACCATTGTGACATCTTGGTGGCGCTGCTTGGTGACAGTGAGAACACCTGGAGTGGTGGGGCATAGCTCGTTGATACTGAGGCAGCTGCATGAACTCTTGCCGCACTTGGACAGGTAGAGGGCAGGGTGTATCAGCCAGAGATCAGTGGCATCACTTCTGAAGGAGCAGCTGGAACCTCTTTTCCATTTCTAGAAAGAACTCTTTATAAACTAGACCATGCAGGTGGGCAAGATCTGTTCACACAGCTACTTTGGCTACCATTTCTTCATGCCAGGCCGTACACATACATTTTCCTTCTACTCACACAAAACTGAGGCTCAGAGAGGAAATCAGTCACCATCCCATGCTAAGAAGTGAAAGAACTAGCACCCAAACCTGAACTCCAAACCCAACTGCCTTCTGTTACCCTGAGTTCCTTCTCTCTTACATTTTCCCACAAGTACTGTCCATAGGTTCTATTAATTCTAGGCTTTTAGCATATGACTGTGAGATATCTCCTGCTTTCTCTGCCAGAAAAGGTGCGTTGTTCAGAGATACCAGGGGGCAGCACTCCTGGGTCTGCTCCCAGGTATCAAGTCAAGGCTGCTTTTTGACTGGGCCACTGGGCACCCATCACCTTTTTTCCTGGACACATGCTCCAGGACAGATCTGAATTCACCATGTTTGCAGGTCAACCACATAAACACTGGCCTTTGCTGGAGACCGCCAGCACATTCCTGGAACTGTGACACGCACAGGGAGCTGTCCCCCCGAGACGGGCCCGTGCGATGTTTGAGGAACAGAGCAGCCCTAGAGAAGCCCTTCTGTTTCACCACCAAGGAAAGACTGAAGACATCTATCTTCTGGGGAACTCCTGCATCAAGATCTGATGTGGACAATTGGGAGAAACTCTCATCAGCCACTGGCTCCCACAAGGTGATCTGTGGCCTCCCTTGTCATGTGCCACCATCTGCCCTGTGCCCATGGAGCATTTGGGTTTGTGCGTGGTCTCCTCAGAAGAGTGTTTCTGCTGTCTGCATCATCTTCTTTGCTAATAATATCCCTTCTTTTACCTGTGTCTTCCTGCCTTTACCTGTCCCTACCATCTCTCTCTTTTCCCTCTTCTCCATCTCTGGAGAAGCCACCAGGAAACGTTACCAGAAAATGGTACCTTGCTTTTGATTCTCTCTGTGCTGATTCTTTTGGAGAACTTAATAACCTACCTTTGCAATGTCTCATCTCCTAACATTTCTACTTGTATCTCACAGGGTTCATACTTTTCTTACTAGCTCTTCTTTCATTTTTTTAAATGAAAGAAAAAATGATCAAGTTGTGTGATTTCTAGAGTTGTCTTATCCTTCTAAAGTATATTCCTTTGGTCTGTCTTAATCTCTCTTCTCGGGGACTTCCTGGATCTCTCCTATCAAGTATTTATTTTCAATAAAGTGACTTTCTGAAGCCTCCTATTGTGTGACGGGACAGCTTCCTGGCAGCCCTTCTGATTGTCCGGCTTTCTGACCATTTCCTATGTCCTTCTGGCATTCCCAGTTAAGTGGGGTGGGTCAGTCCCCAGGGTAAGAGTGAGTTAGGATGACACAGTCCAGGCCTTAAGGAGTTGTTGGTCTGTCATGACTTAGCTTCCCCTCCAAAGACTGAGCTCTTGAGACTTTTGAATCTAAAAGTATCCATTTGATGCTGACTTTTGGTTTGCAAATTAACCATTTGAGGTTTTTAATATGTATTTTCCTCCATAACCTTTGTAATTATTCACCTTTCATTCCTTCAATAAATATTTACTATGTGTCCAGAGCTCAGCTAGGCCCAAGGGTAGGGTCCTGAGCAAAATCATCCAAGGTCCCTGCTCTCCTGTAGCTTATAGTCTGTTAGCAAAGCAAGGTGAACTAATCAAGTAATTATGCTAAAATGTGTAAAATTTCAGGCATGAAAGTGTGTGAGGAGAGGCATATAGGGCTGTGAAAGTGTAATACAAAAGGCTGACATATATACCACTGGGTAGGAGGTTCCCAAAGTGTGGTCCCTAGATCAGCAGCCTTAGCATCACCTGGGAACTAGTTAGAAATACACATTCTCATTTCCCACCCCAGACCCATCAGATCAGACACTCTGGGGTGGGGTCTAGGATCTATGTTTTCATATGTCTTCAGGAAATTGGGATACACACTCAGTTTTGAAAACTCTTGCTCCAGATGGTCAAAATGAGGCTTCTCTGAAGATTATAACCTTTGAATTATGAAGGAATAGGGAAGGAATAAGGGAAAGTATTTGACATAAGCACGCAAAAAAAAAAAAAAATGGCACATGTAAAAGCCCTGTAGTAAGAGCAGAGAGCTTTTGAAAACAGGAGGGATTATCCAAGAAAGGAGAAGACTGATAAAAGATGAGTCTGAACAGGTTGGCAGGAGCCAGGATACACAGGTCATGGAGGCCTCATCAAGGATTGGGCAATGGGAAGCTTTGGATGTGCTTTAAACACGGGGATGACAAAATCTTATTTGTTTTTACTTAAAGAATAAACCTATCTGTAGGATGGCAAAAAGATTGAAGAGTTCCAAGAGTAGACCAGCTTTGGAGTTCACCACAAGCACCTGAGAAAAGATGACGGTCACTTGGACGAGGGTGGTTTCTGGGGGGAGTGAGGAGAAGGGTGCATAATCACAAGATTCTTAGGTGAAGTCCTGAGGTCTCGGTTATCCATTGGAGTTGTTAAGGATGACTCTGGTGTTTTGTTTTGCATGCAAGATGGAGGATAATGGTGCCTAGTTTGACAGTGGAACCAGATCGTGAGGAGGTTCTGTTGAGTTTGATGTGCTTTTGAGCTGCCTAAGGTATAGCTATCAATTAGAAGGTTGAAGGTGTGGCCTCTAGAACTTGGAGGAGACATCTGGGCTGGCAATACACATGGATGAGTAAGTCATCAAAAGCTAAGTGGCAGCTGAAATTGGGGGCCAGGATGAGGTCATTCAGGGAGAAAGAATGTAATCAGGAGAAGAAAGCCAGAATACTCATTGAGAAACTTCGCCATTCTTGTTTACTGGTCAGGTGGAGTTAGGATGAGCCCATAAAACACCTTTAGTGTATAGAGCTAAAGAGAATGAGGAAACAAGAAACTAGGGGAAGACAATGCCATAAAGGTCAAGGGAAGAAAGAGTTTCAAGGAGGGAGTGCTCGGCAGTGGTGACCAGGGAAGGAATGCAGCGTCGGGAGGATTGTTCTGGGTTGTTTGGTTTTTGAGTGTGAATGGTTCTTGCATGCTGAAGCTGAAGGATTTCATTGAAAGAGGATGGTGGAACAAAAGAAAGATATGACCATCACAGTTTACCAAGGATCAGGATCCTAAACATAGGTGGGAAAATGAGAGGCTCAGGAATCTGTAGATTCTGCTCTAGTCTGAATTTCTCTGTACCTCCGTGACCCGCCCAAGGCCAGATCCCCTGACCTGGAATGCCTGCTGTCCCTCCCTTTCGTGGCATCTCTCCTCCCTGCTGACCTGCCTGCCCAAAGCCCCCTTCCTGCAGCCTGCTCAGCTGTTTTCTCAGCTTTGTTCATTCACTGTTAAGTTATTAACTTGTCAGGGTCTAGACTCCCCACTTCCTTTCCCACTTTGAAAGCACTGTTGGCTCCCTTCCTGTTCACTGCCTCAGAAAATCAGCATTTGGAAGGCTGGGGTTACTCTGCAGGTCATTATTGGCAGGCACACAGAATTACAATTAATATAATTGGTATAGGATGTTGAAGGCTTCTTGAACACATTGACACAACTGAAAAAGGAATAATAAACACACCCATCTCTCCATTACCTTAGACATGGAGGCAAATGGTGAACTTAAAATAGACTATCCAAAGTAATTTATCCAAGAGAGTTCAATTTTAAAGGGTCACATATAAACATGTTAAGGACCATCAGGTTTTTATACGGACTCAATTAGGGTTAGGAATAATCTTTAGTTTTTAAGGCAGACTCAGAAGGAGATAGATTGTTTTAATATGTGTTTCTACTACTCTAAGACAAGCAAATTTTGTATAAGATTCTTTAGAGAAATTTGCAGCAGTTCTTAAAAAGAATTGAGTGGTTTTATCACTACATAGCACTTTTGAAGTCCTGAATTAACCTAATGGAGTATGATGAGCTAAAGGCACAGGCTGTTTTCTATTTGTTGGCCTATATCCTACTGAAATGATTTCTTATCTAAAGATAAAATTAAGGGAGAAAGAATATTTTTTGACCATCTTTTATGAGCACATGTTTCACTTATGTCATACTGATTCCTTGCAATCCTTTGAGGTATGTACTATCTATAGATTTTTCAAATACAGAAACCAGGGCTCAAAACTGTTCAGTAATTTCCCCAAGTTCCCATCTCTAGAGAGTGACAGGTAGCTCTGGGCTGCCGGTCTTCACGTTCATAGCATGGAGAATTAGCAGTCATTACTGAAGTAATAGTAATAGTAGGAATAATAGCACTAACCCCCATGCTTCAAATCCTGGATGTATAAGGAGCTTTCATATACCAGGTCTGTCCAGAAAAAGTCCAGCCATTATTAATGTAACAAGAACAGCAGTTTGCCTGACATTGATATAACCTGGCAGCCAAGAAGAGTGGACTGGAATATGCATGTGTGAACAATGACTACTTCACTGTACTAGTCAGTGGAGGTGGTAGACACTGTTAAGTGAGCATGTGTGCTGTGTGGCCATTGCAATCAAAATGACTGAGTGAGTAGAGCAATGAATCTGCATCAAATTTTGTGTTAAGCTTGACCATTCTCCCGCGGAAACTATTGGGAGGATTCAGAAGGCTGCAGCTATAGGCAACTGGTGATTAGCAACTTCATCAGGAAAACACACCTGCTCACACATCATGTCTTATGCAGAGTTTTTTTTGTGAAACATGAAATCACCCAGGTGACTCAGCCCTCCTACAGCCCAAAATTGGCACCCTGAGACTTCTGATTTTCCCAAAACTAAAATCTAAAATTACCTTTGAAAGGGAAGGGATTTCAGACCACCAATGAGATTCAGGAAAATATGACACAGCAGCTGATGGTGACTGGGAGAACTGTGTGAGGTGCCTACCCAAGGTGCCTACTTTGAAGGGGACTGAGGTGTCATTGTCCTATGTACAATGTGTCTTGTATCTTTTTCAATAAGTGTCTCTTTTTTATATTACATGGCTGGGTATCTTCTAGACAGACCCCATATGTCATATCATTTAATCCTCTAACAATCCTGCAAGTACCATGGTACTCATTTTTCAGAAGAGGAAACAGGCTTGAAGAGGTTAAATTATCTGTCCAGAGAAGAACTGGAATTCAAACCCAGTTGCACCTGGCCCTGACATTTCACTCTAAAATAACCGTTTATCAAGACTTAGGGATGTTTTCCTGATCCCAAAAACAAAGCCTGAGGCATGGTAGATGTAAATTTTTTTTTGCCTAATGTCGACTGTATGACTGCCTCTGAGCACTCCTTTTGAGCCTGAATACTGACAGTTTATTTAATTTTTATTCCTGTCTGCCTTGGGAGGGCAGGACAGAAACAGCTATTTCCGCAAGCTTATACATTTTGTTAAGGTAATTTCTCATGCATCTGGCAACTTTCTCTGTCAAGACCCACCCCAAAGCCCAGATGAGGCCAAGAAAACCTCTAGTGCAACCAGAATTAAATATCACAAGTTGGTGAATTAACTCATTTACTGTATATAGAGGAGAGCCCTTCCTAGGGTCACGCAGTACTGGTTTGCTCAAATTTTACACATAATTCTAACAGTCTTTGTTTTCAGCTTAGTCCACAGCAACATAATAGAAGAAAGCCCACTGTGGGGTAGTGTAGTAACATCAGAGATATTAATAATTGAGACAAAAAAGAGAAAAAAACAATAAAAAGCAGAAACGAGGACCCAGAAGTATAGCTGACCAGAGCTATTTTGTGTACTCTCCATAGCAATATTGCAGTGCAGTCTGATCGATTAGTTTTACATTATGGTCACATTGAGCAGTCATGGAAAGTCAACATTAAATCATGTTTGGTTTATATTATGTACCCAGTTTGGGAAAGCAGTGATGACACATGCAGGGTTCCTTATCTTTTTTATTTTTAGGAAAAAAATGCATTAGTGCTTGGTCTAGCCCTCAAATCTCGCCTCCTTGAGATTATGGGGTGAGGTTACAGGGCCTTGGCATTATTTACCTGTGAATCCCCGAAGCATAATGCTGGGCAGACAGCATGTGTTCACTAACGTTAGGTGATGAAACGTCAAATGCCTTTTTTCCCTGAGGGTTCCAGATAAACTGTTTCACTGTGGTCGCTTAGGAAGCTGCACGCCTGGGTTTATTCCAGGATGACTTTATAAAGCAGACAAGGGGCAAGACCTTGGAATGCTCCGTGTTTATTGTTTTTGCGCATTAAATGAGATGATACCTAGACTCCCCTCAAAAATAAAAATCACCTCACTGCATGGTAGTTGCTATTATCATTGTCTTCATCCAGACTGACCAGTATTGCCCACTGGGGGTGGGGGGCTGTTTACAAAAGCACCAGAGCCTTCTTTTCCTGGGACACATTTAAACCCAGTAGCTAGAACCAGTTTGGGAGCTATGTAAATAGCTCTTACTGAAGTAAGTGTAGGCCCCAAGAGTTCTCTGTGGTGTTTACAGGCCACCCACCCCTCAGTGTCTTGTGAAGGAGGTTGTGTGGTGAAGACTGAGCCCCAAATAAGTCAGTATTGCTCCAATGGGAGGCAGCATTTTTCAGCAAGTTAGAGGCAGCCAGAAGAGTCCCTTGCATCAGGTTTGAGGCAGCCCGGGGCTCAGCTTCATGCATCCGTTCTATAAGCACCCGCCTTTCTGCTCAGCTCAGGGGCTGCTTGTTTACCAGGTCACAGCCATGTTGAAAGGGTGGCCTCACTGCCCTGTTAAAAGAGCACAGCGCCTGTGCAAAAGCCACGTTCCCAGCAGGAGCAGAATGTTCTGGGGAGGGAGACCAAATCTCTCAGCCCTTGAGGGACTTCTGGCCTTTACTTCTGGTGGACTTAGCAGGAGTTTATCCATAAATCCCTGAGGCATCCATCCGCAGACACAGTACGGCTGCCTTTTTAGAGAAGTTCACTGACCTTTTGTTAACTTAACTCCATGTTAGGAAATATCTAATCAGCTGTGTGCTAATGTGTCAAGGGCCCAGGGTCAGCTGAAGCAGGGCACCCCATGGGGTTGGGTTTCCAGCTGTGTGCTGTCTGGTGTCTGAGCTGTTTTGTTTTCCTCTTTCAGCTATCTTTCAGATCATTCAGAGCATAAGGATGGGCATGTGAGGAGGCCCGGATTTGACACTGCCCCTCCTGCTGGAGGGTGGAGGACCACTTAAGCTCTTAGCCGGGTATCTGTGGGAAGCAAACAGGCCACACAGAATAGAGAAAAATAAAAAAAAAATAATAAAATAAAATAAAAGGCTCCTGCAATTGTTCCCTGATCGCTTCATCGTGGATATCAGACCAAATTGCCTTTTCACAGGACATCTTGGTACATCTGTGTTCTGGAACGGAAAAGACATTTTGCTTTTTTGTTGGCAGGATTGGTAGCTCCCAGTGTCTGCAGAAGTACTGTGCCTGGTTTTTCCTTTGGTTTCAGGAATGTATTCATGTGGCCATCCAAATGATCACCACTTTGCATTCTATGGATACAATCTCTCCTCCACTGGGAACTGGCTTTGCAAATAAATGTGTTTGTTCAACCTTATACCATGTGCGGATTACAGTGAGAAGTAAAGAAGATGTCAGAATAGCTCCAGGAGGGTTAGGGGCAGAAGTTGGGGAACTTGATGATTCATTTGTGAAAGGGTCAGGGAATTTGTGGACTGGAGCCAGAGCTGGATTAACCCAGCAGGGTACTGAATGAACCTCAAGGTCTTGGCCTGAAAGGAAGCCTGGGATGGCTCTAATGGCCTTGTGTTCCTTGTGTTTTCCACACATTTAACAACTCTCCCCACCCCCCCAACCTTGCTCCCTCTCTCTCTCTCCCTGTTTTTTTCTTATTGCTGTTATTTTTTTTTTAGTCCATAAAAGGCACCTACAACGTGTGTTATGGTCCCAATTTGCCACTCTCCCTGTGGTCTGCCTCAGAGTTTGCCAGGAAGCAGATGTCTGAGACCTCTTTGTAAAAACTGTCCAACCTCAGGCCCAGCCCTGCCCTGATGCAGAGCACAGGGCAGGCAGGAGTGTGCTTCACTCTGATTGGACCACTGGGAGGACAGTGGGTGAGGCCCAGGGCTGGTGGGTGAGACCGCCTCCGGCTGGCCAGCCCTCCCCACAGCCTCTCCAAGTGTGGTCTGCCTGCTTCGGCATCTTGGCACGTTGGGAGTAGGGGAGAAGCATCTCAAACTGCTGGTTCTTGGGTTCCACCTCAAGCCTGCTAACTCCAAATCTCTGCAGATGGGGCTAAGAATAAATGTTCACTACAAGCCTGGGTAAGGTTTCTGTACCCTAACGCTTGAGGACCACAATCTTGAAGAAATTTCAACTAGAGCTTTTGTCCCATTTCCAAGCAATAAAGGCAACCAAACCTTGTTCTTAAGCAAAATACATTCTTGCAGGGACAAGAGCAAGATTTTCAGTGAGACTTCGATGTCACCTAAGGAAGCCAGAGACAGCTGCAGAGACCTCTGATAGGATTAAAGACGTTCACCTTGCACATTTAAATAGGTCTTTGTTGGATTTTCCAATTCCATCTTTGCATTCTTAGCATTTTTCATCCTGTAATACTCTGAGAGCTTTACAAATGTAAGTGGTGGAAGTGGCTAGGACCTCTCTCAACAACTCAAGAGGCTCTGTTGAAAGGAGCACCCTTCAAAATAGAGGGCGATTTTTATTTTACTTTTATTTTTAATTTATTTATTTTTGGCCTACCACAGCCTTTCACCCCAGACCCTTTAGTGATATTCTTTAGGGTTTTCTTCCGCCTTCCAAGTTCTCCTCCTGCCTTTTTCTTTCCCATTGAGAAGAGGGAGTGCCAGGGCTAGTCCAAAATCAGCAGCCCCAGGGACACCACCACCACCACTGTGCTCCCCACTGCTCCCACCCCCTCTGCCCCACCCAAGGCAGCAAAAAACATTTTCCACCACTGGAGGAGTACACACAATTCATGCTGTATGATCTGGTCCCCTCATTATGTTGGCCCTGTCTGGCTTTCCTGTTCTAGGCCACTGAGGAAGACCAGTGTACTCCGAACGATCAGACCCCACCGCTGCCTGCCAAGAGGTCGGAAGAAGAACGGCCCCTTGACAGAGGTTACCTGGTCTGTGCTTCCGTATATGTCCTCTTTGACTTCCATGTTGTCTAGACTTGATCTGCATGCAGGCCTTCCTCTTCTTCCCCCTAATGTCAATATAAAGACACCTACCACACCCTCAGGAAAGGCCACTACTGGGCACAGCTTTGTGGTTTTTCCTTTACTGGGTAGAATCTTCTCTGCTCCCCCTAATATGGTCTTTCCCAAGCTTTAATAGTAGGATAATTATTACCTCACTTCAAGGAAAGGGAAACTGAAATTTGGCCAGATAACTTCAGCTAGCCCCAGGTGACACGAGTGGTAGGCTGAGTGATTGATTTATATCCCCAGGCTATGTGATCATCCACAGATTGGTTTTCTATAGTTTCTAGGTGGCCTCCCTGAAATACCAGCATGTGACAGTCTGCCCTCCCTGGTGACTTCTTCTATCAGTCTTCTGCAAGCAGAGACAGGAACTGCCCTAAGTAAATTAGGGCATGGTTGGTTTATGTTGTACCGTGAAGACTTACAAATATCTTTTGGCATGACACATGGGAAGATTTACACAGCAACCCAATGCACAGCACACCCACCAAAACAAGTTTTACAGAACAACACTTATCCTTAGCACATGTCATGCACTCTGATTTTTTTTCCTAGTCTTATTTTTTTAACGCTGGTTGCACCCTCCTCAAATGATTAAATAACTCATGAATAGGTTCTAACCCATAGTGTTATAGAAAAATACTGCTCTTCAGAGGAAAACCAAGCCCTTAGTAAGAGACAGATGAGCAGTACTCGTAAGGTAAGAAAGTGTGAGTTCCACTTTGAATCCTGTTGAGAATCTGACGCCACATCTCAGTCACAGCCAATCAGTACCTCCAGTGGTACATAAGTAACTTCTTTTGGGAATTAAGGGACATTGGCAGATCTTTCAGAGAAACCGCTAGCACCACCTTAAATGTTTGAAACAACATGAAATAAACACCAGATTTCATTTCATCGTCATTAATGTGCTGTGCGTCACAAATGCTTGGGGTGGGGACAGGGAGGATGGTTAAAAGCAGGAATCTGCTGAAAATCAAACTCTCTGTGAAAAATGAGCATATGTATTTAAAAAAAAAATTCATCCAGATGATTCTGATGCTACCTGTCCACCAATTAGCATTTGAGAACCAATTCATTAACAGACGTTTTAATTAAATCAAACCAGGAACCCAGAGATAATACCCCCAAACAGAACACTGCGTCAACTCTGATCCACAAGAACGTCTCCCTCTGAAATTGTAAGCATTTGGGGTGCTCCACAGAGCTCAGTAACAATGCGACACTATGTCTTATTTTATTCCAGGTCTTGTATGTATTTGTTGTCCCAAGTAGACCACAGGCTGGGGCACAGAGCACTTAATACTTAACTCTCAGAGCTCTGTGGGAGGGAAGGCATGTGCGTGGTGGGAAGGCTAAGGGTTTTTTCCAGGTCCCTGCTCTCCAAGGCACACTGACAGATCAAACACTGTTTCTGGGAAGGCCAGCGCACAGGTGGATGTGTTCGCTGGTTCAGAAGGGAAGGAGACATGCACTTCGCTATAAAATATTTCTTATCTTAGCCAGATACAAGAATATTTGAATGAATTATTCTTCTAGTTATTCCACACTTGGTCCCCAGAGCCTGGGAGGCAAAATATCATTTGGATGACGTCCTTTACTGTTCACAAGTCATCATCAGGCATCAGCTGCAAATTGTGATAGCTCTCAGCCACAGGACCCCCTCTTCAGACATTCTCAAGTCCTGTGGCTTCATCTGCCAGCCATAGGTCTGACTTCCTCCCAGGAGTCAGAAGCAAACTTCTTCAGCAGAGAATCAGGTAATAAGTATTTTAGGCTTTGTGGTCCAGATGATCTCCAGACTACTCACCAACAGTGTTAATAGCTTGAAAGCAGCCATCGATAATACATAAAGGAATGGATGTGCTATGTTACAAGAAAACTTTATTTAAAAAAGCAAGTGGGTCTTGTAGGACCATGGTTTACCAGCCCCTGTTCTGGAGCACAGTTCTCAAATTGTGGTTCCCCTTTCTTTGAGCCTCATCAGCATCACCTTGGCAGTTGTTAGAAATGGAAATCCTCAGGCCTTAATCCAGACCCACTGAATCAGAAACTCTAGGGGTGGGGCCCAGCAGCAGGGCTTTGAGAGCTTTCCAGGTGATTCCCACACAAACACAAGTTTGAGAACCACTGCTCCAGGTTTTGTGCCAAACCTGTCTGCTCCAGAGAGTTGTCCACGGTTAACTGTCTGTATAGGCCTCTCCCCTTCATCCTTCACACAGCTAAATATACACTTAGTACTTCGTTAAATATTTTGTAGCTAGAGTTTTGCTCCCTGCTTGTTTCATGCCTCTAGATTTTGTCTACCAAACAGATTGAAAACCCCTTGAAGAGAGTCTACATCTTTGACCTCTGTCTCCACCCCTTCATTGCTTAATTTTAAGTACTTAGTAAAGGCAGGAGGACCTTTCTTTTACTACCTTCTTGGGTCTCAGGGAAGATAGTTATATACAGAATTTTCAGCCCACAATTCACTTTTCAAAACGATACATTAAGTGCCTATTATGCGCCAGGTCCTGTTTTAAGGCACAAGTCCCTGCCTTCATGGAACTTACATTCTTGTGGGGGATACGCAACACATAAATATGTCAATAAACACTATGAAAAAAAAGCAAGATAGTGTGAGGGTAACTGGGAGGGTAGATGGGATTTTAAACAGCAGAATCAGAGTAAGCCAAGAAACTCCCTTGTATTCTTAGAACCTAAAAGACACCATGTAGGCCATTTTGTATAATCCTTTTTACAGATAGGGCTGTAATAGTTCTCATTTCACTGTGAGTCAGGATACTGCTGTGCTGTGGTAATAACAACCAAAAAGCTCAGCCACTTGGCACACAGACATTTCCTTCTCTCACATGAATCAGAGGCAGGTTGGCAAGGGCTTCCCTCTGGGGGTGTCTCAGTATCCAGGTTATCCTGCCATCACAGCACAAAGTCACCAAAGAGCAGAGAGTGAGAGATGCAGAGGGACAGCTGCTCTCCACTGCCTTG